ACCCAGAGCCACCCAGACCCCCAAAACCCCCAAAACACCTTATTCAAAATCAATGCAGTCCCGCGGCCCTCTGCGGCCCTAAGTTAKAAACTGTTGTTCTTTTGAGGCCCTCAAGGTGGCGCTCGTGGCCGAAATGTGGGCCCCGGCCCATGGGTTAAGAAACTCTGCTTTAAACGACTAAATAAAAAAAAGAACCTGTGAAACTGCAACGTGAAGTGGGTGCGAAAAGTTAGTCTGGAGCGTGTTTGTGTCTTTGTTTTTGTTTATTAAATAATGATATGATGGAATCTGTTGGGTTCTTGAACACTTAGGGTTAGAGTTGAATAATTTTAGAACCTTGTAAAAATCATATCATTATGTCTTACACAAGGAATACTAAAATTAAAAGACTATCCAGTAGAAGTTACTCACAGTGTTCAGCTGTATGATATCCTCTTCTAAAGACTTGATAGTTTGCTCCTGCTCTTCCAAAAGCCTCTTCAGGTATGTGATCTCCTCCTTTTGGACAACCAGCTCCCTGCCTTTCCTCAGCTCCTGAAGACGAGCCTCCTCCATCCATTTGTGCCATTCAGTTACCTGTTTCAAGTTTAATCTTATATCTAAGAAGTACAACAGAAGACTGTAAAAATACTTTCATTTGTTAACAACTGACCTTCTGGGCCCCTCTCCCATTTCTCAGTGTTGTGATGAGCTCCTCCAGCCCCTGCAGCCTCTGCTCCAGCTCCTCAGCCTTTCCTTCTGCTCTCAGCCTCTCCTCCTCAGCCTTCCTCCTCTCCTGCTGAGCTTTGGCTCTGTCCTCCTGCAGCTTCAGCATGGTCAGAGAGAACTTCTCTTGTTGGCGGAGTGGCAGCGCTCCAGCAAACTGCCTACGGAGTGACTGAATGGTCTGCCGAAGGTGCAAGCAGCGATTTCTGCCCTCCTGGCGGGTGAGAAACAGGGCTCGCTCGCTGGCCTCCAACTTCTGCTCAGCTCGCAGCTTACAGGCCTCCAGCTGCTGGGTGAGAGCAGTGCTGGCCTCCAGCTTTCCCAGAGCCACAGACTCACTGAGCTGCAGGGCGATGATGTGCTGGTGGAGCTTCGCAATGAGGGCCTTCTCATCTGACTGCGACTGAGAGAAAGAGACAAAATGAACCTTAACTGGTTAAAAACGATGTCTCATATAATGAATATGGCCTTATCTACGTATGTAATTATGATGAGCCCTAATTGGTCTGTCTGTAAAACATACTTTAGAGATTTAATGAGTGATTAAACCCCAATTCAACTTTTTTATTGCAGATAAACAGTCTACATTGGGCCTTAAGGATTTTGTCTTCATATTTCTGTGCAAATTGTGATGTTTTTGTGTAAATTTGTTTAATTCTGCAATATTTGGTTTCGTCTTGGTTCTGCCCTCTATGGGTTGAACGGTGGCTACTGGCAGCACAGCGGCTCAGTGGTTAGAACTGACGTCTCACAGCAAAAAGGTCCTGGTTAAGACCTGGGGTCTTTCTGTGCAAAGTTTGCTCGTTCTCCTCATGCTTGCATGGGTTTTCTCCGGCTACTCTGGTTTCCCCCACTGTACAAAAATATATACAATAGTTTGCCTTCAGGCCCAGGCCTCGTTTGAAAGAGATCTGTGGTCTCAATGGGATTTGCCTGGTTAAATAACAATAAAATAAAAACACTGCAGCTGAATATTGGTTATGAGTTACAACCGTAGAGCTTGGTTCATGTCTAAATCACAGCTCCTGTGTTCAGGTCTTTCACTCAGAGACACGCCCCTGTGGCGAGTCAGCACTTGGAATAGCGAGCACTGCAATGAAATTGGTTACTGCTTTGAACATTAGCCCATAATTTCAACACTCAGAAACTGAACCCATTCTTTCCTACCAATGTAATATAAGTAATGATATTAAAACAATATTAATAACAATTATTTTATTAACTATTTAACACAAATATGACATCCAAAGAAAGATTTTTACCAGCTTTTAGGCAAGATTCTGACGTTTCTGTAGATACTACATATTAATGAACCAATCGGTGGGCCAGACGTTGGTCACCCGTGGGCCACCAGTTGAATAGCCCCTGTCTCCCCCTTTCCCATTTTATCTTAGCAAAATAAAGTAAAACTAAAATACTACAAATAATGATGACTAAAAATGAAGGCAATAGTCTAGTGATGTTGTGGTACTTAAAGCTCAAATAACTGATGATAATAATAACCTCGATCATCAGTGGAAATACAATATTCTTAGATTATAAACATTTTTTTAAATAAACAAGCTGTTTCACAAAGAATTGCTACTTGTTTTTTTTTTTTTTTTTGCCAACAGAGCACATACACATCTGAATCGATCATTTTTATTGCATTTAAAGTGCACATGAAATATAACCCATGGTCACTGTAATCAAATGTAAATGGGAAATGAAAATCACTGGCATGTATCAGATTTAGCAAGCACTTGTGAAAATTCCAACAACTTATGTTTACCTGGTAGTCCAGTATCTGCCTCCTTAAACCCTCTACTTCGATTTCTTTAGACTTCTGCCTGGCCTGCAGAGCGGACACCTGCGTCATGGCTACATCGGACACCTCCTGAAGACTGTTAACACATGATGAATTTAGTTGTAGAGATATTAAACTAAAAGCAGACATCTTTGATATGTATCAGTCCAGAAAAAAGGAAATTAATCTCCAAAGTTTGAAGTTCAAATGTTTGAAAAGCTGGTTTATTTGGGATTCTAATACAAATATATATAAACTGCTCAAAAAAAATAAAGGGAACACTTAAACAACGCACGCTATGTCCAAGTAAATCAAACTTTTGTGAAGCACATTCAACTCTGTACAGAACAAAGTACTCAATGTGAATATTTCATTGATTAAGATCGGGAGTTAGCGTGCGTTGTTTAAGTGTTCCCTTTATTTTTTTGAGCAGTGTATATATAGTTGGCTTGTTTGAAGTGGATATCTTTGAAAAAGTTAAAAAAAAACTGATTTCCTCCCAAATGTAAAAAGCTCTTTTATTGACCACATTTGGTAGAATTAAAGTTTAAGTCTGACAAGATTAACAAGTTAACGCTAGTCTGAATGCAGCCAAGACCAAATCACTGCTGTCTAAAGGCTTAAACCAACTCCCCGCGAACTGCCGACGTCGGCACGGGTTGTCGCAGTTTAATGACGAAAATTACGTCAGTGGGCTTCGCAGCGTTGTGTCGACAGCCCCTTTTGGCACAAGCCCCCGACAGAACTTTTTGACCCCCCTCCCGTGTCGACGGTAATGTGTGATTGGTCTGAACTGAAAGCGCTCGGACGGACACAGCAGAAGAAAAAATAAACAAAAACTCGCTTCTGACTAGAGTAGACTGTTTTGAGCAGTTTTAAAGATAGACAAACTGAGAAAAACTCGTGTGTTTGTGCTGACAGCGCTATGCGCTGCATTTACTTCAACCACTCGGTTAAAAAAAAAATAAATAAATAAAACTGACTCGCTCCCCGAGCCGACCAGGAAGCAGAGTTTTATAAAGATAATCAAACCGTGAAAAACTCATGAATGAAGATAAACAGACATAACAGATAAACAGACATAACAGATTAACAGGCACGGAGGAATCTGAAACTGTGGAGCTTTTTAACCAGGACAGATGTGGATAAAAATCCGTCGGGTGAGTGACTTTTTTTTTTTTTTGCATCGCTGTTGAGGGGAGAAATTCCATGCAGTGACGTATGTTTCAGCTCGTCGGCGCAGTGTGCAGCAACTATGAAAGGTCTGTGCGAAAACGACTGCTGAACAACCACGTGACCGCGCATCGACCTGTCGACGTCGGAGCGAGTATGTTTCCACCTTAACAAACACGCTCCAGTCTTTAAGGTTTTGTGAGAGTTAATGCAAAGACTATCTATGTGTTTTAATCACCATCAATTTAACATTACGTGGTTATTTGTATAGAATTTGGAGGAGCAAACAGCCACAGCAGCAGCTGGCTGTAGAACTTCTGGTGCAGCCTGTGTTCAATTCTGAGTTTGTACAAATGGCTCTGATGTTTAAAAAAAGGAATAATTTTAATTCAAAAGCAATCCAAATTGGAAGTGGCTCAGTTATTCCAGCCCAAACAAATCCCAATGTTTCTGCTCTTGCAAATATTCAGAAAATTACATGTAAAAACACTATGCAATGTTCTGTGAATTGCTGTTAAAAGATTTATAGAACTGTTTCAGCTTGAGCAAATATAGAATTAATGAGATGAGGGAATTAAGACGGCAGCAACCCAATCTGTTGTTGATTCTGCTTCAACTATCCATTAGCTATGCAGTCCTGCCTGAATATGAACCTTTTATCTCTAAGTTGAGGTAATTCAAAAAACTATCTACAGACAGTAATATATTATTTGTCAAGACTTTTTTACAACACACTAATAAGAATCGGCTTAAATATCCCTTTAATATGTTGATTCAAACAAACCAATCTTATCTTTAAGAATACAAAAACATTCTTGAGTCCAAAATTTATCAGTGATTGTGAAAGTAGTTTTGAACGAACTCATCAATCCAACATACGTTGAGACCTCAATGCGAAGCTCAGCCTCTACTTTCTCCAGCTCTACGATCCTGGCTCTGTCAGCATCGCTCGCAGCTTTGCTGACGCTGTCTGCCAGCTCATCTCTTAGCTCCCGCTCAGTCCTTTGGGCCTCTGCATTCATCTTGGTCAGCTAAAGAAAAACAAATCACTCAATTAGATAACGAAATGCTCGTGTAAAGACAGTCTTTAACTGAAATCAGACACTGTGAAGTGATAAAACTGCCAAGCATCTGAGTAGTTTTGCAATTTTCTGTAATTAAATAATGTTTTTCTACGAGTTCTGCCCAGTGTGAACCCCAATTCTGTTTTTGGTGGAACATCCCCAAGTGTTAAGTTACCTTGACATGTTCTGTTCTGTATCTCTCTGATAACTGCCACATTTATATAATCTGACTTATCATTATAAGACGCTGTACTTATGTCTGTAACCTTGCTCTTATTTTGAAGTGCTCAGTACCGGGTGTTGGTTTGTCATTGGTTCTCTGTTAACATTTGTCARCCTGTGATTGGCTGCCTACAATTCCACCGGATTTTTATATTTGTCTGTTTCCTGTTTCTGCTTTAGTGCGAACTTGACAGATGTTCTGATTTCACATCTGCCAGGTTTCCCACTCGATCTCCTTTGCATTTATGCAATTTCTATTAAAGGGATCCACAATTAGTTGTAACATTAAACTTTAATTGATAAACATTTATTTTAACTGTAAAATAAAGACTGTAAAAATACTGTAGGCTGTTTAGTTTAGTAATTTTTTTAAAAATATATTTAACACGGACGGAGCCATTTTATTTGCATGCAACGCATTTTGGGTAAATGATGACATCAACTAGGTCATCGGTACGAGGCTGCTAGCGAGCTATATCCACCCTGAAGGTTAATCTTGGACATTATCTGATGATCGACTCTTTTAAATGAAACCAGAGAGCYTTGACAGAGAGGAGAAGGTAGAAATGACTCAGCCTGTAACTGAAAATATGGATGGAGYACAACAGAGCTGCTTCATGGAAGAAGAACCTCAGCTTAGCCTGCTGGCCTTTATGCTAGCACTGACGCTATATTGCCTTTTATATATTAGCTCGGCGCTAGCGTGACAAACAAGCTAAACTGAAGTCCTCCATCCATATTTTCAGTTGCAGACTGAGTCATTTCTGTGTTCCCCTCTCTGTCATGTGGATGGAGGACCTCAGTGATGAGAGGAGAACATGTAGCGCTGAGCTAATACATATATATGGTGATAGCGTCGGGGCTAACGCTAAAGCTAGCAGGCTAAGCTGAGGTTCTTCTTCCATGAAGCAGCTCTGTTGTCCTCCATCCATATTTTCAGTTGCAGGCTGAGTTTCTCCTCTCTGTCAACTCTCTCTGGTTTCATTTAAAAGAGCCAATCGTCAGATATTGTCCAAGATTAACCTTCAGGGTGGATATAGCTCACTAGCAGCCTCGCACAGATGACCTAATTGATGTCATCAATTTCCCAGAATGCTTTGCGTGTAAATAAAATGGCTCCGTCCGTGTAATATATTTTCAAACTTTTAGTTTAAAAATGATAAAAACTTAACATTCTACAGTATTTTTACAGTCTTTATTTTACAGTTAAAGTATATGTTTATTAAATAAAGTCTAATGTTACAACTAATCAGGGATCCCTTTAAATTATTTGAGACCAAGCCACGCAAGTTCACTTTGTTTATTTCATGTATTTCTGCCTGGTGGAATATTTTTCCATTACACTGTACATGTGATACAAAAAACATTAAACAAGGTGTGTATGTTTTCCAGAATCTTCAGCAATCATGACGAACACATTTTCTGTGCCTGACAGAGAAAAAGAAATCTCTTACCTCGGCAAACTTGGACTCCAGCTCTACGTTACGTTCCTCCACGTGTCTGAGGGAGTTCCTCATGTGTTCATACATTTTCTGGGCGTGCTCGGCTCTCTGCCGTTCATTCAGCTCCTTCATCTCTAAAGTGGTGATTTGTCTTGCAGCAGATACCATCTCGTTATTGATTGATGCCTTTTCTGCTTTGGCCATGCCAGTTTCTGTGGCTGATTGAAAACATGGACAGCGAGAGAACAAAATCTGAGATCTGCTTGAGTTAAACTGTGAGGCTATTTAAACTGAGCATAAACCAAAATGATTTTTTATTGAATGCAATTGAAATGGGTCTATGTACAATATAACTAGGGCAGGACAATATGGCAAAAATTTACATCATGATATAGCACTTAATTTCAAATTTGAATAATAAAAATAACTGAAAAACTGCCAAGAACACTTATTATTAACTGTAATGACAAACCTGGTGTCATTTAAAATATCTTTAATTAAAATTATGACTAGTCAGAACAAAAAGAGATATCTCTAATTTACTTTATGACTAGTCCTGATTTAGCTGTTCATACTGTATCTGAAATATATGTTTCAGGTAGTCAGTAATGTGTTGCATTAGATTCTCCATATAGTTTAATGGTTAATCTGACATCATTTATACAAGTCAGAATGTAATCAAAGACATCTCAAAAAGGTATTTTGTCAAGTCAAAGTATAATTAGAGATATCTTAATTAACTATGTCTTGTCATAAACAAATTGTAGATATCCAGAATGTGTTGAAGGCAATTATAGGTCACAGTGGAACCACTGAATTACAGTAGTTTTCCTTTCACAACTATTTTGTCTACTTCCTTTTTTAACAGTGTTCACTTATAGCTGTTGAGCTAATTTTGGCGTTGATATCCAGTGTGTGTGGGTAGCATTGTTAGCGTAATGTAAAAAGAGCAGTAGCGCTGAGCACTGCCCTTGAGCCTGTGGTGTACGTCATCACGTACTGACAGAGCGTGTATCCATCAAAATTAAAAAAATAAACATTTGAAATGTTTTCTATCACAATATACATCAATACTGAATTATTGTCCAGCACTTTGTACAACACTGATAGTTCAAAAAAACTCATCTGCAGATATTTTAGTCTGAATCTATATCAGAGGTGCCCAGAGTGGGGCCCGCGGGCCAAAACTGGCCCGCCAAGCCATTTGATTTGGCCCACCAGCAGTTGTCCTGGTTACTAGATTGTAATTACGTTAAGATTAAATATAAAATACAAGTAATTACAAGAGACATTTAGATTAGATTTAAGCCCATATATAGATTTGCACACCTTATAAGACCCCATATACTCAAATTTTAAATTATGAAAAGTCCCATGAGTCTTTGCTGCCTGAGCATACGCTGAATTTTCTCCATGTCCATGAGCTGAAAAAAAAATAAAGAATGTGGGTAACCACACTGGCTGCTAGCTTAATCATAAAAAATAAAACAACTTTACTTAAGTATTAAGCATTTCTTATATTATTGCATTTGGCCCGCGGCCCTCAGATTGATTTTAATTTTGGCCCTCTCAGGAAAAAAGTTTTTTAATTTTGGCCCTCTCAGGGAAAATGTTTGGGCACCCCTGATCTACATTATTGACACGAGATTGTCAGAACAACGCCACAGTTCAAATCTAGTGAACAGTCAGTAAAAACAGCCACAACAAGCACTGCTGTTTGTTTACCATTAGAACAGACGTTCTCCCAGGCTTGCTCTAAGGTTTTCAGTTTCTCTTTGGTGATCTCCAGCTCCTTATTTATGGAAGAGATTTGCTCTTGAAGAGATCTGTTTTCAGTCTGAGAGGCAGGAAACGTTAGTTAGCAACTAAAACAGACATACATGACATATTAATGAAACCACTTTTTGTGCTTTAATACCTCTAAATGTTCAAGGTTGGTGGTTCTCTGTATGAGGCAGCTGTCCCTCTGTAGCATGTCTCTGTATTTGACCGTTAGCTCTGTGTACTGCTTATTAGCCCTCTCCAGCTCTGACGCAGGCACACTATCATCCAAGGCCTTTTGTAGAGCTGCTATCTTAAAACCAGCCATTTCCTAAAGAACAAACAAAAAATGCAACCTTAAAGAGATTTGTTGAGGCTAGTGACAAAGGAATGAGACACAAAGAAGTGAAAAAAGAGGAGGGAGTAATTGAAGAAAATGAGGCAGAATAACAAAAGGTGAGGTGAGGAACAAAACTCAATGAGTTCTGTAGGATTAACCTGAATGAAAGCTTTACTCACATTAGCCTGTTTAAAATGGTTCCAGGACTAAGTGGACTGACTTTGTCCTAATTTATACTTTACAGATCCAAACAGCTAACATACAGTTTTGCCACAGTTGGGTGAGTGATCTCCTTTGTGACTGGCTGCTCTCCACTGCTGAATCTAACTCTTGTGTTTGCCTTAAACCAACCAAAGCACATACCAGGCATCTAAAAACATTCAGCTGCAATTGGTTGCAAAATATGGAGGACCGAATCGGACATAATTAGAAATAAAAGCAGAAATATATAAATGGCCCAATGAAAAAATAAAAACACTTAACCAGTTAATTAAAAAAGGAGAACTTTACCTCATGTTTTATATTTTCAGTGACCTTCATATTTATTTTTCCAGCTTAGTTACAACAAATATGTTAGCACAAGATTTAAATTTGACTATTTTTGTGTCTTTTAAATGTTTTTTTCATTGTTTTTTCACGCTTTTACATTTTTCTGTCTCCTGTTTTTACTTTACCTTATGCATTTCTGTCTGATTACGTAAATAAGGTGGGCGGTCCTTCCTGGGTCAGCTCCTCTACTATAGGTCAACAGACAGGAAGGAGCAGGATTCATGTGCAGATTGATGGTGTATGTTTGTGCTGCCTCCGTTTAGCTTAAAGTTCAAATTTTAGTTAAAAATAAAGGCACAGGTAAGTGTTTTCCTCCTTGCCTTTGTTTTGAACTAAACTTTAAACTTTACTTTTCAACACTGGGAAACAGAGAAAGAGCTTGTGCCTACCTTGTATCTTTGCAAGTAACCGATCCTCTGGATGACAGACGCCTGCATGCGGCTGCTGTCATCCCTCAGCTTGCCGTTCTCCTTGCGTAAGTGCTGCTCTTGCTCCAGCACAGTGGTGTAGCGCCGCGTGAGTTTTTTCTCGTTCACTTTCAAGATGGTCAGTTTGCGAAATGCTTCACTCAGCTGTCTTTTGATTTCGTCTGGAGTTTTCTGAAGAGTGTTCAGCAGGTCCTGATGATTGAAATGCTGGAGTTCAGATAAACTACCTCCACCCAAACATCACTTGTCAGGTTCCTAAATTTCATTTAGTGCAGGTTGTTAAGAACATATTTCAGATTTTTTTGGTGTGGTTCTGTGGAACATCTTATCTGTTGTAGATAGCTTTTTGAATGACCACAGTTTGGAGAGTTTATTTCAGGTTGGATTAATGAGTTAAAAGCTAGTTTGAATGTTTCAGGAGTAGATCTAAAACGGCCCAAACTCAAATAATTCACAGCGCAAACATTGCACATACCTTTTACATCACCATGCTCATATTTCAGTTTTTTTCCACAGAATTCTTGGGTAATTTGTAAGAAGAAACAGCAGCAACAGCACTTTGCTGTAGCACTTTTGTTAATAATATCACATTTCTGTCAGAATATTCATACAAGAAAATCTAATGAAGTTGTAAAGGTTTAAAAAATGGTGTTCAAACTAAATTTTCCATACAATTTAGAAGATTGTAGTTGTTTTAGAACGGCTTCAATACCTTTGGTTCTTGGCATCACTAGGACTATATCCTCAGTCCATTCAGAATAAAACTTATTTTTTGCCCAAACTGAGGTCACCAAAGAAATATCCACAACAGGAAAGACATCGGTTGTTTGAACCATTTTCATAAAACCCAATTTTAGAACATCTGAACGACTTTAATCTTACTGCATCTCCATACTTACTAAACTTTTAAAACATGTAACATATCCCCTTCAAAATGTCCCATCAAAAACTACATTATTTGATTGTGTTAGAGTAAATAGGATACAGTGGTGGGTACAGTTCCCCTAAAGCACTGAAGCACTAATAGGGGAAGTAATTTCCTGCTTAGTGCTTTAGGGCTTTTGCTACTTTTAAAATTGATTACTGGATTAGCACTTGCTAAATTTAGAAGCACTAACTGAGGTCTGTAAATGTTATTGATCAATGTTAATGTTAACAGCTGAGGGTGAAAGCTGTCAAACATTTTGTTCATATGTGTGTCACTGATCCACCAGGGGACAATATATTAACAATATATAAACCCAAATACAGCTGTGGAAAGTCAATGATAAGTCTTAAGAGAGCAACAACAAAAAAAGTCAATGATGATGAAGAAATAAATAAACTAAATAAACTAATAATATTTGGTTTCGTTTTCTACTGAAGTGACAAGAAAAAAAAGAGAGCAACATGGCAATATGTGACTCATGTTGTCTGTTGAAGAATGTTCATGAGTTAATTGGGTTATTTTAGTGCTTTAGAATTAGCTTTTGCTAAAACTTTCAGTGCATTAGTGCTTTAAAATTATGAGACCAAATATTTGAGTTAGTGTTTTAGGGCTAGTGGAACTATGTTTTAAATTAGTGCTGCCCACCACTGATAGGATGCACAGTATATAGGCAATGGTTTAAAAGTAATATATAATTTATATTTAAGAAAATGTGTTAATCTTTCAGGTTTTTCTTTATGACTTACATTAAACTGTTGAATTTTCACATCGTCCACCTGTTTTTGCTCCTCCAACTTATTCTTCATCTCTTTGAATGCTTCTTTTTCTTTTTGCCACTCTGCTTTCTCACTGAAATAGTCAAAAATGTTTTTAGTTTATGACAACTAAGTAATAATAATTAGAGTCTGTATCTTGTGAACTTACCTAAGATATTCCTTGTAGAGCAGTCCCTGCTGATGACTGACAACAGCAAACTTATCTTTGTATTCTTCCAGGGTTTCTATAAGTTTCTTGCTTTTATCCTCTTTATTTTTCAGCTCCTAATTAAAAGAAAAGATTGTTTAGGTTCACCCAGTTGATTTACAGTTAGGCTAAGTCGTCAAAGGACGCTGACCTGAAGCAGTCGAACAGCGTACTCATTCAGGGAGCTGATGACCTCTGTGCTGCTAGGCCCCAGCCCCTCAGGGAGGGTCAAAGGTCGGGGGAGAACTCTGCCGCTGCCCGACTTCCTGAGCAGTTCCAATTCATTTTCAAGTTGGTTCATCTGACAGGCAAAAGTGATGAAAATGTCAGAAAAAGCCCGCCAGTTATACTTTTCATCATACTACCTCGTTCATTTTCACAAAAATGCGTTCTTCATACATCAAAGAAGTTCTTCCATTTGCTTCAAAAGTTGCCTGAAACTCAGGGAGCAAGACATTTTTATGGGACTCCTGTCAGATCAGGTATTTGCAGAGACAGTAAAGTAAACAAAGACAAGAGAAAAATAATATTTGAATGTCAGAAACCCCCCAAGCCTCCATCTTGAGGAAAAAAAAAAATCCCACTGACCTCCCATTGAGTCCACACTGACATGCAGGCTCAGTGTAAGTAAACAAAGTTTGCACAGCCGTATCATTTACTGGTTTATGCACCTACGTTTGCACACCTCGATCATAAGTTTGACTATTTGTCACTGATTTAGTGACAGCTCCTTCAGTAGGTACATTTTTCCTTCAGTGAAGAGAAATAAACTCTTCATTCTCTGTTTATCATCACATCTATTTGGGTCATGTGCCAGCTAAACAGCAAAAAATTGACCTATTACAATATACAGGACTACAACTAGAGAAAACCAGAACCAGGAAGCTGAAGCCAACCTGGACAAGCGCCCCAAATCAGCTGGCTGCAATTCAAGTCCAACTCCTCCTTGTAAAATGGATGGGACAATATCCTGACTAAAACATAAAAAAATGCACTTCGGAGAAATTATTTTAGGTTAAATTTTAAGTAGTTTTTTGAGGCTTTAAGAAAAGTACCATGTTACACCATGATTGACAGTGTGACAGCTAGTTGGTGAGTTAGGAGGATGTGATGATGGCAGGACTTCCATTTCAAGGATACAACTCCACATATTGAGTGTGATGCCTCTGGCTTGAAAACAACAACAACAACATGTTGACACCCACAAAAAACAACATTTTGAGAGACACGAGAGAAAGCAAAGATTCTTTTTTTTTTTCAAACGTACTGAAATCCATGAGTGGACCCACTCTCTCTCGTCCGTCTAATTGCCAAATCAAGTCTTAGTCACAACGTTTAAACATTACCCTCACTTACTACAAAAAAATTAGGAATGGTTATATTATTCTTTCATTAAATGGTGCCTCCCAACTGCCAAAACCCGTGTGTTTTGATGGGTCTTGTTCTCTGTTTTGGTTTGATTTTGTTTTTATCATGTTTATTTCCCTTGTGTTCAGTTTATTTCCCAGTGTTTTCTAGTCACTCTCATTGTATTTCTCCTTAAGCCTACTCCTCAGTCCTGCACCTCCTATTCACACATTCCTTGTAATTATTAGCCTCACATGTTGCTACTTAACTCATCAACCTTAGTCCATTTATTATTCCAGCCTTCACTCACTTGTAGTCAATCGTTATGGTTTCACACTTTGTCTTTCTTGTGTTCTTTTTAATACATTGTGTTTTGCTGCCATTCCAGCTTTTTGTTTTTTATTAAATCTTTATTACTTTTATCCAGTCCTTGAGTCAGTCTAAATCCTTGGATCCAACCCCAACTAACAGTGACAAAATGATCGACTTTAAATAGGTCACAGCAGACCCATTTATCACTCTTTTTGAGTTTATGGCCTGAGAAGCTGCTAGGTCTGTGTGAAGGTTGAAGGATTAGAATATGCCACTGCCTGTTCACTTGAATGGGTTCCACGTGAAGCCTAACAAAAAGGTGATACACAAAGGTACTTTGTACTAATTTTACCACAAATCAATTTCCCCATGGGGACAAATAAAGTTTAAAGTAAAGTAAAAAGCTGGCAATTGTTGATACAAAGGCCAGAAACCTGGCCAGCAACTTTCCCTCATGATCGTTGATCAGCTGATGGTCCTGATGGGCCTCTGTAAACAATAGGTGATAATCAAGGTCATAATGATCGTTAGGCTGATGGTCCTGATGGGCCTCTGTAAGCAATTATTTTCACTAAAAGACGAGATAAAAAATGTACAAAAGTCAGTTTAATTTAAATAAAAAAAACTCTTACCAATCCACTACTGCAGTGGTGTCCAGAGTCAGTCCTCAAGGGCCGGTGTCCTGCGTGTTTTAGGTGCTGCCCTGGTTCAACACAGCTGAACCTAAGGATTGCCTAATTGTTAGGCCTTTGCTGGCATACTGACTTCTTGGGTTCAGCTGTGTTGAACCAGGGCAGCTCCAAAAACACGCAGGACACCGGCCCTTGAGGACTGACTCTGGACACCACTGCACTACTGTAATTCTTCACCCTATAATTAATTGTACCTTGTCTTTGACTCTGGCAAGCTGACTGAAGCTGGTAGTTGCCTCCTCTCGAGCAGATTTCAGCTCCTGCCTCAGCTCTTCATTCCTTCCCACCAGCTGATGGATTAGAGACTTGGGGTCTGACTCAGATCGCTCACCAAGGCTACCCACATCTGCAACCTGTGAGTGTGATGAGAGGCAATACGTGGTTAAAACAAGAACCAAAGATTACAGCCAGTAAGTAACAGACAAAGCCCCTGAGACAGGAAAGATCATTTTAGGCTTTGCCTGCATCTCATCTCATCTTATCTCATCTCATCACTCATTCTACCCTCATCACACAACATTTAGAAGGAAAACTAAACAAAGTTCTGAACATATTTACTGTTGGTCGTCTATTGCTGCTACATGATACTTGTGCAGATTTCTTCCTAAACATATCTGTAGCTGAAAAAACAAAAATATCTTCCTCTGCTGTCCTTAATGCAGCTTCTTATTTAATAAAGAAAAAAATAGACATCTTTATATTTGTCATTTGTACCTTGTTCCTTTTGTTGTGTAAAGAGTTGCCAAGTGACAGAAATAACAAAGACGGTCAATGTGAGCAGTTCACTGGATAATGTGACAATAAATACTACAACACTCATGTTTCTATGGGAATTTAAACATAAATCTTGTTCTTTTATCATGTCGGCCCATGAAGGCTGCTTTGATATATTTGGCTCGGCCACACTTTTCTTTTGTTCTGTTGTATTCTGCTTTAATTTCATTTATTCAACATCCCAACCTTTTTTAATTGGAGTTGTTCTACACACAGGTTGTCATATGTTTTGCTGTTTCTCTTGGCTAGAACAAACAATTACTTGATCTCAAAGAGGGAAACTGTCCAAGTTAAGTGAGTTGAATGTACAAACTATTTACCATTTAATAAGTTTTGGACGAATAAACAAAATTTGATCTAAACTTTTTATTTCTCCAGGTTCCTAAAAAACACAGTGTCAAACAATCACTTTTATTAGAAGAGATACTTACATTAGGCAACATTTTTCCACTGGGAACCAAACCATCACCTGACTCCTGATTAATCCTCACAGCATGAAGGACATCTTTCAGTGCAGCCTCCAGATCTCTCTTTACTTTGGACAGTTCTTCCACTGTGAGTTTACATAAAGATAGGAAAGGCAAAGCAAAAGCCTACAATAAATCATTTTTATTGCAAAGCAAACCAGGGGTGTCCTGATAGCAGTTTTCCTTAAACTGAGTATGAGAACAAGTAGTACAGTTTGGATACTTGATGATAATGAGTACCAATACTAAGCACTTTACTGAGTTAGAACTTAAACATTACTCAATGACTTTAAAACATATTTCTTTTATTTAGAACAAGGTGGCCCTTCTTCCTTATAGGCCAACAGCCCAGACTGGATTAAATAAAAAATATAATCATGATGTGCACTGTTGCCAAATTTTTAAATAAATAAAAACAAATAAGATTTTCTTTTAACTTGTATCAATTTCTTAAACATGGAACTAATAAACTCCAATTGAAATGCAAACGGTAACAAAATTAATGATTAGATACAAGTATCGATATTGGTATCGGTCCTGGGTATTGGTACATTTTTGTAAGAGTACTTGTAAAAATGCTGGTATCAGTAAGAAGACACCACTAAAGCAAACATACTTACATTTACACTGAAACTCAGTCTTGTGAAGTTCCAGCTCTCTCTCTTTGCTGCTCAGTTGTTTTTCAAGGTACTCATTCTGTAACGCAAAGTCCAAGTAATTTATGCTACTATGAAAACCTAACAAAAAATCTGAAAACATCACTTTGATTGAACAAAAATAATTACGATCAGCTGCATAAAAACTTATAGTCACTTAGTTTAAGAGCTGCCTGGTCCCTGTATAACCAAAGGTTGAGTTGTCGCTGAGTTGCCTGTTAGCTTTAGCGTTAGCCCCGATGCTATCACTGTATTAGCTCAGCGCTACACATTCTCCTCTTGTCACTGAGGTCCTCCATCCACATGACAGAGAGGGGAATGCAAAAATGACTCAGTCTGTAACTGAAAATATGGATGGAGGACCTCAGTTTAGCTTGTTAGTTTGTCACGCTAGCATAGAGCTAATACATATATGGCAATATACGTTGGCGCTAGCACAAAGGCTAACAGGCTAAACTGAGGTTCTTCTTCCATGAAGCAGCTCTGTTGTCCTCCATCCATATTTTCAGTTACAGGCTGAGTCATTTCTACCTTCTCCTCTCTGTCAACGCTCTCTGGTTTCATTTAAATTCAATTCAATTCAATTCAATTCAATTCAATTCAATTCAATTCAAAAATACTTTATTGATCCCAGAGGGAAATTAGGTGTTGTTGTAACTCATTTAATTATAAACTTATTGTAGATGCTGATGGCTGTGGGCAGGAAAGATCTTCTTTAGCGGTCTGTATTACAGCGAAGTTGAAGAAGCCTCCGACTGAAGACACTTTGTTTTTCTATGACAGTCTGATGAAGAGGATGGTCAGGGTTGTCCACAATGTTCTTGATTTTATGTAAAATCCTTCTTTGCACCATCATCTCCAGAGATTCCACAGTCGTCCCCAGAACAGAACCAGCCTTCTTTATCAGGTTGTTTAGCCTTTTTAGGTCCCTGGCTCTGATGCTGCTAAAAGAGCCAATTGTCAGATATTGTCCAAGATTAACCTTCAGGGTGGATATAGCTCGCTCACACTGAGGACCTATCCACGTCATCATTTACCCAGAATGCTTTGTGTGTAAATAAAATGGCTCCATCCGTGTTAAAATATATTTAAAAAAATCACAAAACTAAACATCCTACAGTATTTTACAGTCCTTATTTTACAGTTAAAATATATGTTTATCAAATAAAGTCCAATGTTACAATAAGGGATCCCTTTAATTCTTAGAACAGTCAAGTTTGTTCTTGGTGTGGTGTGGACTTCACCAGGACTATTCCTTTGTCTGAAACTCTGTTTGTGCTGTTTATAGTCAGGAATTGCAGGTGCAGCCATGGTCAGAAGGGAATCTGGTTTTGGAACCTCAGGGTAAATGGTAAATGGCCTGAACTGATATAGCACTTTATCAAGTCCAAGGAGTCCAAAGCGTTTTACTCTTCAATCACTCACACTGATAGCGGTAAGCTACATTGTAGCGACAGCAGCCCTGGGGCACACTGACAGAGGTGAGGCTGCCACACACCAGCACCACCACCAGCAGACAAAAGTGTGTTAAGTGTCTTGCCCAAGGACACAACGACTGAGATGGACCGAGGGGGGATTCGAACCGGCAAACTTCCAGTTACAGGACGAACTCCTGCCTCCCGCTGCCACTGTTGTCATCTTGTCCCTTTTTGCAATTTTGATGTGGTTCTGTTGGTTCAAGCTATGGCCTTTAGTGAGCACTGAGGTGTTTCCCAGCTGAGTTTGAAGCAACTCTGCTAAGTCTGATGTCCTGGTCTCAAGTGACAAATACTTCCTCCAGGTCGAGGGAAAACCTTTGCACCAAGTGGAGGACTTCCAAGGCCTTGTTCACAGAAATGTGGGCATTACTGTGATAAGAAAGGTATCTGGTCTGTCTGAGGTCAATGAAGTCACGTGGCAAGCCTGCCTACCCAATTCTATCCCAAAACCCTGATAAAAGCTATGATAATGTTATCAACTTGAGTTTGTATTGGTCTTGGTTGTGTTTGAAAGTTGGAATGAGTCAAAAAAGTCATCAATCCAGTAGAGGAGGAGTTGGTTGGTTTGAAAAAATAAAACAAAACAGATATTCAGAAGCAGTGGATACAGGGAAAGCTGGAGGATGTTTTTTTCCTGACGACAGGATGCTTTCTGGGTGCGTTTCTCTGGAAGGTTTCATGAACAACTAATTCTAAAGCTTCTAAAACTTTTGTTATCACAGTTATGTAAAAGTCCAATTTCTATTCTAAATAGTCAACCAAGTGTGAGGTTTAAGTTTATTTTCATTGTTTCCTAACTGCCGAAAAACAAAATTTAAAGCCACATTTATGCTGCAATACAGACAGTTTTAAAAGCTTTCAAACATTAAAGCAACACTGTTTAACTATTATAATACGAACATGAATTAATACGCAAATACAGCCAGCTCTCAGAGGGACATTCAGATTTTTGAAAATGGGGTTTTCTAAACACGTTATGAAATTTTTTTTTACTTTTTTAGAAAGAGTTCAAAAGATTTGATGCCCAAATAACTGCGCAGAAAACCCAGTTCAGCTCTGAGTAAAAATATTTCTTCTCTGATCTAAAAACTCCATCTCATGCTTAGAGTCACTGTCTGTGTGTGGCCCTGAGTCTAATCAGAACACAAAAATGCAATGGCTTCTAACGTCCGTCTGGTTATGTTTAAGCTTCACGTGTCCCTAACAACCCAAAATATTAGAGAACACAAGTGGTCACAGCACTGGGGGTGGTGCCTTTTATATGTCAACATTGATATGTAAACTATTCTGTTTATCCTGCAGGGGATGAACAAAAATAGACTTGTTGATTCTCTTACTGGTTAAAGGGGCAATATCATGTAAAATCAACGTTTGAGTTTTATATCATGTTATAATGTTATACTCTCATAAAATACATGCCCAAAGCCTTGCTTTGACTCATTCATGCATGTTTGAGAAATCCTGCAGCGTTTTTAGGCAGCCATGCTGAGGAGCAAAAGGTGGGGACCAGAAATGCCCCTGAGACGTGTCTTTAAGCTGAACTTCCTCATGGCAGAGCACACCCTACCCCTCCCCACACACCCCGCCTATGACTCCTGCAGGCTCTCGGGTGAAACTGAAAGTGAAACTTAAACTGTCAGCTAAGCTCCAGTACTTCTCACTCAGTGAAGCTCTTTTCAGATTAAAAATACCTTTGAGGAAATGTATTTTCAGATGCCAAGTAAACTGCATCATAGCGCGTGCACGACCCACCCCCTGCACCGAAATGGGACAGGACAGAAGCGGAAGGTGGTTCTTAAAGAGACAGAGACCAATTTCAAGGCGTTTAGAAGAGGAAGTGATGAGAAGACAAGTTTATTTTCCATTTAAACATAAAAACAGCATTTTAATAACAACTAAAGGTGACATAGATACTTCAATATGGTATAGTATTTAAATATATGCCTGAAAAACACATAATATTGCCCCTTTAAAGTAAACGACTGCGATCAATTACAAAAGAAAAAAAGATGAGTGTATCTAAATTCAGTTAATTAATCACAAAATTCCCTTCAGCCTGTTAAATATAGCTTTTTGAACATAAGTTTGAAAAAATAGATCTATTTTGACCAACCTGACAGCTACTAACTAGTCAGAAGAAGGCCAAGACTGTTCCAGTCTTAAAAAAATTCATAGTGCTTCATGTAAAAGCAAATATGTAAACTTTTACACCATTGGTTCTTAACCTGGGGGGTCTGCACCCCTCTAGTGTTGAGGTTGCCAGAGAGCACAGGGAAAGCCCATAACATTGTCTGCTCAGAGGTGAAAATGTCAATTTGTTGTTTGTATATAAAAATCACCAAAACAAGTCCAATGCATTTTTTCCCTTTTCCAGATAAAAGTTTGAAACTCTCCACTTTATTCTGTTCATAAAAAGATAGAAGTTGAACAAGTCTTTGGGAGAGGAGGGCGGCAACGAGGGATTGGGGGCAGCAGCTAGACTTGGACGCTAGAAAAGGGGCCTTGAGGAAAACAGGTTGGAAACCACTGCTTTACACCATAATCCAGGTATCGATAACAAATAAGATATTTATCATTCAGAACCTTTCTGTAAGTCTCATAACCTGATAGGTTAATCACCCAGTTGAATTTACATAGAAGTCACTCATACTATTTTACTATTTTTGCAGTCCGAAATTTATTTATTTTTATTTTTTTTGCAGGAGAAATGTAAGAAGTGAAGTTCACCTTGTGTCTGATCTCTTCATCTGGTGTTTTCATGCTTGGTCTAAAATCTTCCACCAGCTGCAGACTTGACTGTGGGATCCCTGCAGACACACATGATTGAGAACAAAAATCTGTCTACCAAGTTTGAACTTTGAGACAGAAATAAAACAAGGCTGATGACAATGTCAGTTATGCATATTATAATAAGCTATTCCAACAGAACTGCACAGTGAGTAAAAGTGACTTAAAAAAACAGATTTTGAAACTTTTACGTAGTGAAAACTTCATCAGGCCTGAGCGTTAATTTTTTTCAGACATACATCCAATAACTGGATCGTTTAATATGCAAGTTTTATAACAGGCAATTTACTTGCTTTAATGTACAAGTACAATCACACAAATTTGAACATTAATTTTTCCATTCTATTCCCATATCACCACAGCATCGAACCCCAAATAATTAAAAAACAATTTTAAACTGTTTCACATCTATTGCGTTCTAATCCAAACTAAAGCCAGAATTTGCGTGAGAACAGTTTAAAACGCAGCTGAAGTCTGTCCTCTGTTGTTTAATTTGTTTACAGTTGTCGAACAGAAACACTTTGTTCCATCTCCAATAAGAAGCCTTACTTGTTTTTGGTCTCAGGAAGAAAAAAAGAAGCTCATCCTTAAAATCTTTGTCTCTTGAACTTGTTAGACATGGACACAACTTTGAGTCTGAACCCTACATCTAACAAAAAGTAAAAGGAGGGTCTACACAAAGTGTTTGAAAGAAACAGTGTTGTTTAGCATGTTTAGTTTGTGAAAAGAACAACTTTTCTTGTCTGTTTTTAAATTTGATTTGCAGTGGTGGGCACAGCTCACCAAAACCATAGCTCCACAACATCTAAACGACTACACAATTTCTTTAGTTCCACTAATGATAAAAAGCTGAATTGAAATCAGTGTAAGGGAGGCTAATGCTAAACTGTTAAAACATGATCTTATTAATAACCAGGCCATATGACATTCAGTGCAGAATACAACAGTACTTGGATTAGTTAGTTTGTGCAAACGTCTCTCCAGCATTTAGTTCATGTTTCTATTCTCCTGCTTCAGACCTCTCCATCATACGGTGTGTCAGATTTACAGTTAACTTTACTTCAACACAATATCAAACATAACCTAAATCTGTAAAATGCTTCATAGATCACAGATTAAAATGTTTGAGAAAATAGTTTGTTTTATAAGTCAGTAGGCGGAGCTACAACTGTTTACTCAATCTAGACGAGCAGAGAAGGGGATTGATAAAGCCGGAAATTCAAATTTACAAGCTGTGAAATCGTGTTTCTGCTCATTTAGTTTTTATATTTAAACATTATTAACACTAAAAATAAATATTTATATGCCCCAGATTAAAGCAAAGATGAGTCTTTGTTTTTTATTTTTGCAACCAATTCAGAAAATGCTGTCTGTGACAAAATGATGTCTTTGCTGCAAAGGATGCTGGGAAAACTGTAAACTAAAACTGTCACTGAGAAGGTTTTGTCTGTATTGAAAAGGAAACTCCAAAAAAAAAAAAACTTGTAATCTTAAGACTTTGGAATATTTAGCAAGTTAATCAACGTCTTGAAATAAATTTTGTGAGATTTAACCGTAGAGTAAGTTACCAAAAATATATAGTGGAAATAATGTCCGTTAATGCATCATGAAATTAATGCAAAAGCTAAACCACTCAGAAAAATATTGGTTCTGCTTTTAGCGAGTTAGCGAATGAGCAGAACTGTGCCCACCACTGTTGATTAGCATATCTCAGGTTATAAATACGGCAATAAGAAATGAACAGAATATTTGCTACAATTTAAGCCGATTATTTCACCTCTTTCCTTCACCATACACCTGATTTGTTTCTTTAACTCCAGCCGTTCCTCTTCTAGTCGTTCAATCTAAACAGAAACCAAACAAATAAATTGGAGGAGGTCAAACCTGACAAAAGTGAGTGTATAAACCTGTTTGATTCATTTTTACCTCTTTTGCAAGAACTTGGTTTTCTGCTTTGTACTGTCGTTGTCTGAGGTCTTTGGCACGCCTAAATTCGGTCAGATCCACTTCCTGCTCTGGTTGCAGACCTGCTCAAAAAGAAAAAAATATGAAAAGTCACATGTTTAAGTTTCATAGCTTTCAAAGAATTGGTGCTGTTTCAGTGCACTGAGAAACAAGAACAATATTGTTTTTGAAACATTCTGACCCAGTTTTTCCCGGAAGTCCTCATTTTCATCCATGAGGTCATTGATTCTCATCCCAAGCTGGTTGATTTCTTTGGTCATGGCCTCTGCCTCCCGATCTCTCATTCTAATTTGATTATTACACTCTTTGATCTCCGCAACTGCTGACTCCAGGCCATAAATGCCCTACCATACACAAACAGGGCATCCATCAAAGATCACGTCTTTATTTCCTTGTTATTTTGTCTCACACATTTTCTGCGTTGAAAGTTATTTGTATTTTGCTGTGGTGATAAAAGTTGACCCAAAAACCTTGTTGATCATACCAGTCATACAGGCACTGAATTATTCTTATACAGATGATGGAAAAAAAATCAAAGCTTCACTTCTAGGAATTTAAAAATCATCAAATTTGATTTGGATAAAAATAAGTCTCGGATTCCAAAGTAAAAACAAAGGGGTGAGAGATGGTATTTGTAGACTCACCGACTCATACTGGCTCAAACGGTTTAAAGCCTCAATAAGGGCTTTGTCTTTTTCTTCAGCGTGAGCTTCTGCTTGTCGTAACACCTGCTCTGCATCCATGGCTCTGGTCTCTGCAGCTTTCAGCTTGGACTTTAGCTCCTCTATCTTCCTCTGCTGTAGAGTTGTAGGTAGACCTTTTGGAAAGCAAAGCAAATCAATATGTTCTCTGTTAAAAGAAAGCATTAAATGCTTAGAATGTAAAAATATATTACTACAGTGAATCTGTGTTTCCCAGCCAAAGAACCTGTTACACATGGTCCACTTAACTCACAGGCTGCAATTCAAATGCAATTGTAAAAAATATTTGACAACGATCAAGTTTCACTGATTTTATTTAGTGCCAGTGCTTAGGCATTGTAGCATCCTAATTACTATTTAGTTTTTAATCATTTACCCACCCATTATCTCCCACATGTTCCAGAGTTGGGTCACAGGGACAGCAGCTTAAACAGACCTCTTCACTACAACAAGCCCACATCTATCATTCTCAAGCTCCATTTTTCCATCACTCATGAACAAAACCTCAAAAAACTTCAACTCCTCCACCTGAGGCAGAAACTCACCTCAACCTTGAGAGAGCAATCCAATCTTTTCTGACTGAGGACCATGGACTCAGATTTGGAGGTGCTAATCCTCATCCCAGCTGCTTCACACTCAGCAGCGAACCACCCCAGTGCGAATTTGTGGTCAAAGGCACAATGAATTTGTGGTCAAAGGCACAATGACGCCAACTGCAAATAGCATGTCTGAACCGGACTCCCTTTGCCCCTTGACTGCACCAAGAAATTGTCCGTAAAAGTTATGAACAGATTCAGTGACAACGGGCAGCCCTGGCAGAGTCCAACTCCCACCCTGAAGGAGTCGAACTTACTGCCAGCAACCAAACAGGTTCTGCGCAGAGATCAGTTTTTTATATCTGTCTGTACACAGTATGCCCGAGTCTGTGGGGGATTTAAGGACAGGGATGCCCTTATATTTGGAACACATCATCTGGTTTCCCTTTTTGAAGAGGGGAACCACCAACATGGTCTGCCAATCCAGTGGCATTTCCTCTGATGTCTATGCGATGTTGCAAAGGTGTGACAACCAAGACCACCCCACAATGTACAGAGCCTTAAAGAAATCAGGGAAGATCTTGTCCACCATCAGAGCCCTGCTGCCACAGACCTTTTCAACTACCTTAGTGATCTCAGCCCAAGTAAAGGACAAACCAACCTCAAAGTCTTCAGACTCCGCTACCTCTATGGAAGACATGCTGTTGGGATTGAGGAAGTCCAAGAAATATTCATTTCACCTCCCAACATCACTGATTGAGGTCAACAGCAGCCCACCTTCAGTGAACACATTAGTAAAGTGATGTTTTCCCCAACTCAGCCACCCCATGGTTTGCCAGAATCTCCTCAGAACCGATCAAGAGTCTTTATCAAAGGCCTCACCAAACTCCTCCCACATCAGAGCTTTTGCCTCAGTAACATCCAGAGCAACCACTCCCTTGGCCTGCTGATACTCCTCAGCGGTCTCTGGGTTTCTGCCAAACAACAAGGCCCAGTAGGACTCCTTCTTCAGCTTGACACCCTCCCAAACTTGGAGTGTCCACCACAGAGTTTGAGGATATTTTTATTTATTTTGGCCACAGCTCAAGGCAGCCGCCTAAACAACTGAGGCACAGAACATGGTCCACTTGGACTCAATGTCCCCCACATCAGCTGGGATGAGGTTAAAGTTATGTTGGAGGTGTGAGTTGAAGACCTTTCTGATGGGTTCTTCTGCCAGGCACTCCCAGCAAATCCTCACTTCACATTTGGGTCTACAAAGTCTGTCTGGCATCATCTCCCGCCGTTTGATCCAAGTCACTCTTGGGAGGATTATCACTTGACAGCTCATCTCCTCTCATCACTCAAGTGTTCAAAATATACACTCATTTATTTTTTGTCACAATTTTTGATTGGCTCCTAATACCGCAGTTTTGAAAAAACACATGCAAAGAAATACATCAGAATATTGATGTATTTATTTACGTACCTAAATTTATTGTATTAGAAAAACACAAATTATTACCGTATCAGTATTACACATTAAGTAAATGCACTGGAATTAGTTCAATAGCTGAACTTCAAAAGTAGTCCCAGAGCAAGTAAAGGAGAAAAGTCATAATTTATTACACAAGTGTACAGACCAAACAACTGACAAAACAGACCATAAAACAATGTACTTTAAATGTCATACTCTATAATTCTCAAAGCCTAGGTGAAAATATTTTTGGAGTAAATGACGGCTTTGTTTTTAGCCAAATTTTCAGTTTCTTAAAATGATTAACTGTCAGTCTCTGACATGTCCCAGTACTTTATTCCATGAAGGTTTTCCTCCAATCGACACCAACTTTTGACCAAGTTTTCCATCTTGCTTTAACACAGTCCTGTCTAATTAGAGCTCTGGAATTTATTTTAGCATTATATTTCTGAATAAACTAACTTAATGGTGGGAGGGCAAGCCCATTTGAAAGCATAAAAACAAGACATAGGTCAATAAATATTTGATAGTTTTCAAAGTCTAGAATATTACATTTACTGATGACACATCAAAAGCTGCCTGTCCAAGATTTAACTGTCTTTTTTAAATGAGATAGGTTTTAGCACATTTGCTGCAGTAAATGGGCTGCTGTAGGACTTGTGGTTTTCTCTAACCCCCCAAAACACATACTGTATATCATAACTATAATTGACTTCCATTGTATCTGAGCGCAGAATTATCCCCGCCCCTCGCACAGTGATTGCTGGATGGGCACCAGTGACCCCTGTGAACCTGAAGAAGTGGGTATACAGTAGATAATGGATGGATGGATGAGCACAGAATTATATCTTCAAAAGCCGAAGTGGAAGCGAGGGGTCTGCATAACGTGGGATGACCAAACTTTTCTGTCTGTCACAGATCAGGGCGTTTTTCAATGCCACAGTGGTTTGCAAAAGTATTCATACCCCTTGAACTTTTCCATATTTTGTCACATTACAACCACAAACATAAATATATTTCAC